CCCTGGCTGTGGCGAGGCCAGCACGGGTTAACCGGGCCGCACCGCGTTCGCTGTGGCTGATCGATACTTGCTTTTCTGTCTCTTCTAAGTAGAGAAAACGTTACAGAGCTTACTTGCGTGTTACCTCTGCTTACTAGGCTAAGTGTAAGTGCGTGAAAGCTACAATTGTAACTCCTGTCGTTCTTACTAAGGAAAGCCAAAGGAAGCAAGGGAGAACTTTTTTAGACAGGCTATTTCAATATTAACAGTTTCATTAGAAAAAATGTTTTGGTGAGTCCCTTTTCAGGTAAAACCAGTAAAAAATTAATTTGTGTCTGTTTATGCACAGTTAACCTCTAGATTTCATTCATTCATAGTTAAATTTCAAACTTTACTTAAAAATAGAAAATAAAGTTGTTTGGAAAGATGTCCTGAATCCATTTTCTGAGCTCTTGAGTTTTCAAAAGGGATTGTTTTAACAAACCGTAAGTGTTGAGGCCTGTTAGACGCTGTCATTCAAGCTTTGGTGCAACTCTTCTGTCAGTTACTTTTCCCTGTCTTCAGTTTCTCTCTGCTTCTCAGTAGCTACTTTTTTGTTTGGTGAGTTTGTGGTGGTTTTCTTTACCAGTCTTTAAATAGGATTTTGTGGGTTGGTGTGTTTTGGGTTTTTTTTTTCCCCTTCCTGTAATTTAATTAGAATTTTGACATGCTGCTATGTGAAAAATCTCATTCTGATGCTCCAACTTTGGATAAAAATACTCAACTTCTTCCTCTGTGGTGGCCCTGTCACTGAGAATTTTTACTAATAGCAGCCTTAAAACAACATTGTTTATATTCTGTAGCCCAGCCAAAGAATTAGAGCAAAAAATTTTAAAGTAAAAGCAACGTAATGCCTATTTATTTTCATCTAATCTTACATTTCATTATATTTTAAATTAGATACGCTCTATTTTTAATAACAAACGTGGAAGAGAGCCATCCTAGTGAATACGACTTTGTCTTTCTTTTTCCAAACAGTTTGCATACTCCCACTAGACTTGTTAAATTGGTGTTGCTTCCTAATGGCTCTTTAGTGTAAGCTACATCCCTGCTGAAGTTAGTAAGCACATGCACTAGTCTTGTAAGATATGTATTTATTTGTAAGTAGGGAAACAGCTTCTGCATCTTAGCATGAATGAAAATAGGCTTAACTCCCTCTTTAAGTAAGATGCTGTCTTGCAGCACTTGCGGCTTGCTGCTGCCAAAAGTGAGAAGTCTTGCTTTGTGATGTCCTCCGTTGTATGAGTTTTTTGAGATCCCTCCATGTGTTAGCTAAGTATACTAAAACAGCAGAAAAACATTCTTGTTTTCTTTTCCTGGATTTGTTTTCTTCCATTTTAGTGAGTAAAATCTACTGTAAAGAGGACTGATGAGTGCTGGAGTTGGCACAAGGTCGGAGCAGGAGCCACTTGGGATGGAAGTGAGGACTGGCACTCCACCCTTCAGGCAGTGGTTTATTCACTTCCCTATGTGTAACCAAGCCAGTGATTTATCTAGGCCTACTCATTGTTTCTTAAAATTATGTTTTTTTCTGAAACTTATGTAGTTACGTCACCCTTCTTCCTCTTTCCCTTATATTGCTTTATCCTCCTTTGTTATGGAGCACACCGTTTGTTCACGTTTGCATAGGAAAATGTTAGCATGTGAGTTTCTTATGGAAGAATGTATAAAGCTCTTACAAGCATATGGCACGTTTATGTACATTTAGCTGATACGTAAAACCTACCACTAGGGGAAATGAATGCACATTAGTTCGCGAGGCTCAGCTGAAATACTGTTTTGTGTAGCTCTAGGTCGCTCTTAGGCCATTACAGTATTAAAAATATCTCCAGATTTTAAATGATCAAGTGTAACTCAGTCATCCTTGCTTGAAGATTCCTCTTGAGCTTATCAGCAATCCAAAACTGAACAATTTGGAGCAATTGTACTCTGCTGAGATAAAAACATACAAGTTGTACTCTGAGCAAGCGTGCAGTGCTTCTCATTTATTGCACAAGAAGGAATGGAGAACTGTTTTGAATGATTAGTTTGTTGCTGGCTTACTTCCGTGGCTGATGAACTAATTTGATAACGCCTAGACGCTCTTATTTTTGTGCTGGAAAATCCCTATTATGACCTCTTAGTAAAGATGTGATACAGTTCGGTATCATGGTGTAGATAGAAAACGGTTATCTTTGGTCTGCGTGAACTCTAAAAATTGGGGTAGGAAGGGGATGGAGAACTTGGTCATATAAGAACAAGCGCTTTTTTACACATGTTTTTCCTTTCAGCATCTCAAGAGGAAAGATCCATTTTGTCTAGGAATAAGCAATTTCCAGAGGACAGCCCCAATGACAGAACTGTCTGCGCATTTACCCCAGTTTCAGCATGGGCAGCTGACAGAAAACTTCCCTGATAACCACCTCAGCAACACCGTATGTAACCAACAATTTTATTACCTGATAGCAGTTAAATCAGGATGAATAATGAGTATGGATAAAAATACAGTTCAGAACTCTAGAAATCTGTTTGTTGGGAGTAGTTTTCTCTATCTGGACTGTTGTGGTGATTAAGCAGTGCTGAAACAAATATTCTGTAATAGATCTGATGTTCTAAACTCACTTTTATATACAGATAAGACTTCTCCCAGTTTAAAGTGGTGTTGGAGTGACCAAGCCCTCAAGAAAAATAAGAAAATGGCATGGGATGCTCCCGTGTCAAACATTCACCTTTAGAGGATTTAGTGAGCTCTCTTGATCTAGCCTGGGTGTGGTCTGCTTGATTCACAGGTTTCTCAGTCACAGTTAATTTTAGTCTAGGTAGAGCTTGAAGCCTGAGTTTTGTTGTTGCTGTTGCTGGAGGACTGCTCCTATGCAGGAAGAGCAGCACTGTCTTACTCGTGAATAGTTGTCAAGGTGCTATCAGAGTTCTTGAGGTGTTGGGGGGGAGGGGGAGCTCAAACCGTAAAGTTTTATATGATTGCTTTGAAAGACCTAGGCACATAATTGTTGCTAAAACTGTACTCATTGTGCTGCATGTGTTTTGGTAAACCCAAGTTTAGATGATCTACTTGGGTGTGGTCCTCAGGCTCTTGGATTTGTCATGCTGAGTTCTTTGTTCCTGCTATAGCTCTTGAATATCAGGTTTCCTTGTGACACAGAAAAGCTCTTGTGAGGCTGGGCCACTTGTAGCCATGTTTATGGCAGTGATTCAAGGGAATATTTTGATCCCTGCTCTAACTCTTCTATACAATCCAGCAGTTTAAGTAGAATTTTGAAAAATCCTTGTCTTTATCTCAGATCAGTATCCTGCTATATCAGTAAAAATATAAAACATTTGAAAATTTATTTTTAAATTAAGAAGTCAGTCTGACTTAAGACCTTACTGATTATAGAAACTGTTAATAAAAATAGAAAAGTGGAAACTTTCCTACCACATCCTTTGTGCTTTTACTTCAGAGGGAATGAAAAAGGTTTCTTTTCATCTTGGACAGGTGAGAGATTAACTTTTATTGAACACTTCTGCCAGATTAAAAAGGCAGAGTTCAGCGATAAGCTGTGGGCTCACCATCCTTACAGATAACTTGGTGATGCTCCTTCCCAGCAATGGGGGACGGATGGTTCTATTTACTTCTCACTGACAGACTGTACTGATGAATAACTACTACTTGTGCTTTTTCTTTCCATGTTTAAGTGTAACTCTAGGTGTAGTTTCAATACTTAGTTGTAATGATTTTTCTCCCCTACACACATCTGCTTTGTTTTTGTACATACGTACAAAAATCCTTTCCTGTTAAGTATATCTAGCTTCTGTGGCTAACAGTCAGCATGTGAAATCACTAAGTACTGTAATTTATCATCTTTTCTTCCAGTCACATACCAAGAGTTCAGCCCAGTCTTCAATATCTGTCACTGTATAATGACCTTTAAACATAAATGGTGTATGTGAGAACTAATGAAGTCTGTGCCCACTGTCAGACAAGGAGGTCTGCTCCTGATGTATAAATCTGGATTTAATAAATAAAAACTTTTTATCAAATATGCTAGTTTTTTATTACTTGGTTCAGGGGCATTGCTCTGGGTTTGCTATTAACTATTTTCCTGATAGGGGAAAAAAAAAAACTATCATTTGCTTTTGATATTGTTTATTCACCTGAAAGCGCGTAGTTCGTAACTTACGTTTGCTTACGGTGTTACAACAGGTGTTACTGACTTTTTAGCTTCAGAATTTTCACTTTTAACTATGTCTGAGGAAAGTGAAGAGTCTGTTCCTTTGCTTCCACTTCAGCAAGAGTCCATGGCCTCTGCCCTGTTTAATACTGATCAGGTAGGATATGAGTGCACTTTGTTCTTTTAAGCAGTGGGGCACACACGTCACATTTAGCTACACTTTAGTAGCCTGAAAGGACAACTTTTTTTCTAGTTTTAACAGCGAATGAGAGAAGAAGTCTTAACTCTTTTGATGCTGATCTGGTTTTCATGCAGTGTGTTTTAATATGTAAAGGCATTTTGTGATTGTGGCTTTGTTCCTAACTAGTGGAGGGAGTAAAATGGCACATATTGGTCTAATTTTTTCAATTTTTCTCTTTATGTTTGATTTTGCAGTTTTTTGTAGTGGTGTGCTAGTTAATCGGGCTTTTCCTTTGGCTGTTCTTGTGTTTGCTTTGCAAAGCTGTAGATTTTTATTTTACTTTTTATATTTCTGTGCCTAAGATAGGGGTAAGTGCTCCCTCATGCAGGACTGCTATTACAGCAGAGAAAGAGCAACGTATTCTGCAAGTGTGCAGAAACCTAAATAATAGGTCTGCTTTACTGGTGAAGTGTTCCAAGGCTCTGATCATCTCCAATGTAGTGTTACTTATGATCATCCTAGGCAGTTTATTTAGACAGGTAAGCTTATTGTTGTCTTGTTGTAGACTGAGAGAAATGGAGTATTTTCACTATCAAAGTGAAAAATGTTACATTTGAGCTATAATCTGTACAGAAAGAGGTTCAGTTGCAGCCAGCGTTTCAGAACAATTAAACATAATCTCTTTATTTGCATTCTCTCATATTGCTGTTTCTACCTGACTCTCAATAATTGTATGTGAGGACTTCACGCAAAATGCCAAGTGATTTATAATGAATCTTTCATTTAGTAAGAAATAATATTGAACCAAAATCTTTTTCAGGACATACTTCAAGTTAATGATACTAAATTCAAATTAAGGTTAAAACCTTAATTCTAAAAATCTGGTTGCCTGCCAGTTTTAATTGTTTAATTAAGACAATTTTAGATTTTTTTTTTCTCCCCTTATATTCAGTTTCCTTTTTGAAAAATAAAGCAAATTTTCTTAGAGGACAGTTCTTGAAACCCTGCTGAACTTGATCCTGAGGATACCACAAAAAAGGAGTAAACAGGCAAAGCATTTGATGTGTATTGTTACTTTGTAATGTTTTGTAAAAGCAAATTTTTCATGAGTTGGGGAAGTTCTAAAGCTTTGACCAAGGCTTTAGCAGTGTCAGTGTTTGCAGTTCAAAGTCCAGGGGCTGGTACTCCTTAATCACTTAAGTGCTTTTGAAAACCCAATCTGAGGATACCACAAAAAAGGAGTAAACAGGCAAAGCATTTGATGTGTATTGTTACTTTGTAATGTTTTGTAAAAGCAAATTTTTCATGAGTTGGGGAAGTTCTAAAGCTTTGACCAAGGCTTTAGCAGTGTCAGTGTTTGCAGTTCAAAGTCCAGGGGCTGGTACTCCTTAATCACTTAAGTGCTTTTGAAAACCCAATATGAGTTCCTGAGTGTGTACTTAACATCTTATCTTTTCTGAGGATGGGGCTGGGAAAATTCTATATAAAGAATCTCCAAAATTACTATTGATTTATCAAAAAAACTGCAGTGAGTCAGTGAGATGTAAGTCAGCAGTTATGTTTGGAAATGCTATTAAGAACAGGTAATGGGACTTTAACATTGCATGTTTAAGGAAAAAACTACCTGCATAAGAGTACTTAAGCAGAAATACATTAGGTTATTTTCAGTGCGCTATCTTATGTCTAGAGCAATTTTACTAAAACTGAGTGATATTTTAAAGGTATTGCAAAAGGTATCTTCCTTCAGTTTATTATACATTTTAATCTAAAGCTGCTGTAGTGCACTTACTTAAACTGAACTGTTTGTAAATGAAGTAATTCTGAAGAAATGACATTAATTTTGTAAGGAATCAAGAATCTTTGTGTTACATCTCTTTTATGTTAAACCTCTTGAGGGAGTGGGAACAGTACAGCATTGACTTTGGACATGGTAATACAGTAAAAAAAAAAGAGCAGGCGGTGTAAGCTGTTGCATTTTAGGGCTTGTTTAGAGTGACTGGTAAACATAAAATGGTTTTCTTTCTTTGTAGTCCAGAACAGGTAAATGTAGCTCACTCTCCTATTGTGTGCACACAACATATAAAAGGCTGAATGCCCCCTGCTGACGGGGTTTCTTGGAGAGGGGGCAAAAGGTTTGTGACAACAGGAGGTGTGCAGGCCTGATCATTTACTTGTAGGTGGTGTACCCAGTTTGTGTTTTTGCTTGTGGTTAATCTTAATTCCACTGAAAGTTTACCTCTGTCCTTGTGTTTGAATTATACCCTTGACGTTTCATGTAGCAGTATCAGGAAGGCTAGGAGGCTCTTTCATATTTGTTGACAAGGGTGATGGAATTTCTTCAATGTCAGTGAAAGTATGTGGCAGTAGTGTCCTTGGGAAAGGAGAGAAAGAATCTGCATGCTTAGCTCATCACACTAAAACTTTGGGATCAAATCTCAGTATAAAGACTGAGAATTACCTGAGTTTGATCACCGTTTGTGTGTCATTCTTCTCACTAAAAATGTGGGAACACAATACCTCATGAAACTCCATTTTAAGATATATATTCTAGTTAGTGTACTGAAGTGAGAGTAACATGGTAAGGAAAGTAGAAATTTTCTTGGGACTTTCATGGAGTTACGTTCATAAATGTCTGTTTGGCATTATTTCTCGGAACAGATATAGTTTGTCAAACTGTGGATAATCTACTGTTATGCACCCTTGCAGCAACTGTAGTTTGGACCAAGGGAAAAAAAAGCTGTCTGTCTTTATTCGGCTTTCTAAATTCTGTTTAAAGGAAAGGCAACATAGGCTGTTAGATGCAACCAGCCCTACTTTCAGCTGCTGCTGGTTTTAATATAAATGCTTCTAACATAACCCTGTGCTCCCATTCTTTTGATAACTGTGATGCAATTAATTACTACTGTTTAAGTCCTTGCTGTGGCAAGTGTTATTGACAGTAAATATTACCTTACATGTTTCCCCCTCAAGATCATCTTTAGCTTAGTGTACAATATGATTGTGGATAGCTGCTGAGGAAACTTTTTTTTAACGTATTGCAGAATGACCACAGCGAAAGACGTCGTCATGATAATAGCGAGCGCAGAAGAAATGACAATCCCGAGTCTGAGACCAACGGGCAGCCACAAAACAACACTCAGCAAGTGGTGGAGCAAGATGAAGATGATGATGAGGAGCTGACACTGAAATATGGGGCAAAACATGTGATTATGTTGTTTGTACCTGTCACACTTTGCATGGTGGTCGTTGTTGCAACCATCAAGTCTGTCAGCTTTTATACACGCAAGGATGGACAGCTGTATGTATGAATTTTCTTCCCCTATCTTTTCAATGGACTTACTTAGATAATTTTCTTTAATCTCCATTTCTTCAGGAGTCTAATTCAAGCAGTAAACTCCCTCTTGCCTCCCTTTTCCCCTCCACCAGCCCGAAGGCAGTTTTGTTTTATTCCTTCCAGAAACCAGACTCTGTATTCGTAGTGCTATTGACATTTGTTGTCTGTGTGGTGACCAGTTGGGGTAATATCTTGGTTGTTACTGCTTGATTCAAATCCTAGTCCTCATTTTAATACTTTGTCGTGCCCTGTGGTATTTATAAAATAAACTCAATCCTGAGCCAAAGCCATTTCAGTTGTACTCTGCTAGAATACAAAGATTTTAAAACCTCATTTAAATGAAGTAACATGTATGCCAAGTTCTGGTTTGCCTATGCTGTTTGATAAAGAAATTCAAATGCAAGAGGCAGATAGCTTTATGAGGTTCACTTCTGTTGCAGTTACAGAAACTTCCCTGGCAGGTTTCCTGTATAGAATTTTTTTTTTTTTTTGGCAAAATATTAATGTTGCCAAAAAAAAGCTATTTCAGTGAAAGCTGATTTGAGAGAAAGGAGACAAAGGAAGAACACTGAACCTGTCAGAACCTGCAGCAATTCAGTCTAAATGTTCCACTGTGAAAACGTTTAGACAAAATGATTCAAAGTGTGTTTGGCTTTGAAATATTTGTATAATATAAGCATATCATAAAACGTTTCAATAAAACACAAAGTTCTTTTTCACTATCAAAGTTGTTGATCAAAGAATTATTTTTCTTGAGATTTTATTTATGGTAAGTGTTTTCTCCACCACCCTCCCCCCTCTTCCCCATAATGAAGTGCATTTTTCCTCAGGTTGTTGTATTTCTTTAAGAAAAAGAGAGTTGAGCCCATACATTGTTTTGTTGAAATCACTGGGGAACCTTTCATTGTAAATCCACTAGATGGTGTGCTTATAAAGGTCTAGCTGCAGTAATAGTCTAATGATTCATAGCATGTGAGCAATTGTATCAAACAACGTGGAGTTCTGGTTTTTTGTTTGTTTTACAAAGTAGAAAATAGTAGTAATCTAAGAATGTAGGAACGGCAAGTCTTCTAAGGAAATTTTTTTTTAATTAAAGTTTGCCTAATATGATGCTATGCTGCCTTTCAAATTTTGCTTAAGTAGAAAATAGCTGTTGCTTTTACAGCTCTGAATTGAAAGATTACTGCAATTTCATTTGATGTTGGCCTCACATATCAGAAACATCTGTGCATTCAGTGGCATTTCAGTTGACTCTTTGTTGTTGTAGCATCTACACTCCTTTCACAGAAGAGACAGAGACAGTAGGACAGAGAGCCCTGAATTCAATTCTCAACGCGGCTATCATGATCAGCGTTATCATTGTCATGACCATACTCCTGGTTGTGCTTTACAAATACAGGTGCTACAAGGTGAGTATAAATATAATTGACTTGAGTAATTGTGCTAGTTTTATTTATTAGTACAGATTATCGAGAATGGAACAAAATGAAGGGTTATCAAGGATGAGTGAGCAAAAGTAGCAGAATTGGTGATTCAATTCACTGTTTCAATTTTGTGGCTTCTGTTCCTTTGATACAATGGAGAGGCAAAGGCCCAGTGCTAACACTGCTGGCTGTTTTGTCAGAATTAGGGTGGCATTGCTTCCTATTCCTGTGAAAAGTACCACGTACTGAAATCTTCCTGCGTTCAAGAACTACAAAGTACAGATTGGTCCTACAATTTGAAATCTATTCAGGATTTCAGGGGCTTTTCAAGGGCTCCGCTCTCCCTACCCTGCCCCCAGTATAGAAGTCTCCCAACAGTGATGTGTGTGTGGCTGTACATACCAGGCAATATCCTTATAGCAAACAGAGAGATTCTAAGGCTCTTTTGTGGAAGACTTCAATCATATAATGATGTAATCTAGGCAAGTCCAGGCTTAGCATAAATAATTGTAATGTCACCTGCCTGGGAGGAGTTGTTTGTGAAAATTCCTGGTTGTCTTTGGGCCTTAATGACCCATTTGACAAGGCGTGGCCTAATAAAACTTCCCGGTGTGCAGCCAGAACCATGAATCTGTTTCATAGTTGTAAAACAGGCAGTGGGATCCATGCACTGGCACAAAGCTTTGCTCCGCTTTATTTTGTTTTCAAGAGGGAAAAATGGTTTTGATCTTCATGGCTGTGGGTGAAACCCCTTTACAAAGTATCTGTGGAGCGACTGGGGAAATTATTTTTGCCTGAATCTGCATACAGCTTGTAATAGTGTTTTTTAAAGTATGGACCTTCTCTTTTTATAACAGTGTGGTGTTAAATCTGAACTGACAAAGCTTTCTTTTTAAACTGTCAATTCTGTTCATTCTAATGAAGTCAGATAACTGAGGTACTTCAGCTAGGTTCCTTGGCAGCCAATCAGTTCTCCTCAGGTGCATCAACTAGTTTTTACTAAGCTTTTCACATTTCTGGCTTCCCTCTTGACCTTACAAAGCACTGCACGTTCTCCTTACAAAAATAGTTGTTGTACTAAAAAATTAGAACGATTAGACGAAATATCCTGTAGTTATATTTTATGCTAATTAAAAGAAATAATTAACTTATTTTTAGAATTGCTAACAGAGTATTTCTGTGCTGCTATACCAGAATGCTGTAAAATGTTGGGACATTTTACCTGTCCATTGAATTCTATTTTACATGCATTTCTATATGTAGAATGTAGTCTAGATTATGGAGAATGGAACTTACAATGAAAGAATGTTAAGCCTCCAGCTGGTAGTGATAATTTGCTTATCTTCACAAGATTTTTATCTGAAAACTCCTTTGAAGAAAGGAAATATGATTTCAGCTTTACTGCTGTTAGTTTCCTATGTTTCTTCTGTACGTGATAAGTTAAGCATGGTCATAGATTCTAGCTCCTAAATCTAACCAGAAACAGCATCTTCGAAGGTGGTTGTATTTGACTAGCTTTTCTTTTTAACGTATTTTATTATTCTCTGCATTCTTCATTGTTTTAGTCTGCCTAACCAAAATCTGGCTGCTGTAGCTCATTTTAATTCTCTGCATTCTGCAATCCTTAGTTTTTATTCAAGTTTTATTCAGCAGGCAAAGCTGACTCTGTACCAGCAATCAATTAGTGTTGAAGCTGTTGTCAAATGAAGAATGAAAATTCTTTAATTAGAAAGCAACCAACCTGTCATGGTATCCTGCTAGGAAAACGCTGGCCAAAACTTACAAGAAATACTTTGGAAAAATCACTTGTATGAAAAGAGGCCAGTCATCTGGAAAATGCTATAGCACATGAGATACATACTGAGAATAAAACAAACATCTGTGTAAAATGCCAACTTATGTCAACTTTTGAAACTACCTCCTTTAGTACTGTTGACAGTAGTTACCCAAAGTGCGTGTAAACATTTGCTGGACTATGGCCTTGGTGTTTGACATTGTTAGCATTTTGCTCTTTACTAGAATGAAATATTAGTATTCACGTTATTTTCTTAAGTGGTAAGAAAGTTTAAGAGCTTATACTACAAATAGAAGAACTACAGATAGAAGTCGTCATTATTAAAAGAAATGACAGCTTTCTTTGCCGTTTTCTTAAAATGGTTTCAACTAGTTTTACAGAGAAACAAAATTACTCTTGTTAGGTCACTACTTAGATATATAGGTAGCTTTACAAGTTGTTTGACAGCTGAATTCTGTTTCAGGTACCTATCAGTCTTCAGCTTTAGTAAGTTTTTTTTCCCCTCACTTGCTATGAGTGGCGACAGTTTGATGGACTGAGACAGATACTTTGGCAGTTTTCCTGCAGCATCTTTACAGGCACCATGCTTATTACATGTGGAAAATTCTTAAGTCTTTTTGAGAATACACTAGCAAATATGGAAAGCCAATCTGTTAGATTAGCGAGTTAAACGACAGGTTTTATTAGGTTGAAGGTTAAACTTGAACCTGTTTTGAAAGACAGGCAGTGTGAAGGAGGAGAATGAATGTTTCAAAAACTGCTGAGAATTTTAAAAATGCATATGAAAAATTTAGTATTAGACTAAATGTACTAAATTACTAACTGTAATAGCTAGACCCTTAATTTGCTGGAAAGTCCTGGTTGCCTCATGTAAACATGATTCCTTTAGTCTGTGTGCATATGAGCTTTACTTTTAAATTAACTTTTGCAAAATATTTTAAAAACTATAATATAAGATGCATTCTACTACACATTGTTCAGAAGAAGAGAAATAGATAACACAATTTCTAAACAGTTTCTCAATACTTTGATCTGGTGTACATATGTAGCTAATTTGACCAGTTAATTTTCCACTGAGCATGTCTGTTCAAAGCAGGATTTCTTAGGCAGCTTGAATTTCTAGATTATTGCTTCTGACTGGTTGTCTACTTGCAATGTTGGGTCTGGTTTTATATATAAGATTCTGTGCTGGGAATTTGACAAATACATGTTTCACTCTCAGTTCAGAGATTACCAAAGTTACAGGGCTCTTCAATCTTAATTTTTAATTTTGCACAGTAATATACAAGAGTGGTGTGCACTTTTGTCAGTGCAAAGTCTGTGTGTCTGTCATTTCCAGGTTTAACTCTGTGCATGTCCCTGCTGAGTACAACCCTGAACTGTTTTTTGTTAAATTGTTGGGCATGTATATCTGCTCTCGTATCAAAATTAGGGATTATGTATATAGGTGATTGATAGAGAATATAGAAAAATCCTTATATAGTCATTCATTGATGACATGCTAATTCTGAATTCCAACATATAAGCACTGAAGGTTTTTCTGTGTTCCAGCATTTAATTCTATAACTGTATTCTGAAAATGACTTGGAATCAGAGCAGACTTTTTAATTGCGCAAAAATGAATCATGTTTTCCATCTGTGTTAATACTGGGTGTTTCTGCTATGTTATAATGCCACTGTTATCAAAATGGCCTAAAAATATACAAACAGTAGTTTTCATTGTATAGAACGTCTATTGAAAGACCACAAAGCACTTGAAATTCGTAAGTGTAAATTGAAATACAATAATGTATATAGACTAAATATGAATTTAGCAACAACCAAAGAGAGAGATATCTGAATATCATTTTCTTGCTTTAATCAAAAGGGAAAATAACCTTAAAAGCATTTTTAAGTAGATATTGAGTTTAAAGTAACAAATCTAAAAAAAAATCTGTATTGATATCTTTTTTCCAGGTGATCCATGGCTGGCTTATCATTTCTTCTCTTTTGCTGCTTTTCTTTTTCTCATTCATCTACCTGGGGTAAGTGAACCAAAGCATTAATATGCTATTTTTCATGTATCACTTTGTGTATGTATTTATTTTAGAACTAGCCCTTGAATCTTAAGAAGAATGATAGTGAGTAAGCTATTGCAATAAAATTTTTAGTTTTATATAGGTTCATAGAGTACACATAAAAGAGAGAGAGATTTATGGGTTTATAGTGCATCTGATATTGTACAGAAGTTGTCCATCACATGCATCACCAGAATAAGCTATCTTCCACAGGGTAGCTTATTCTGCTAGCATATCTTGTGATAACTTAATTTTTCATAGCCATATGACTCAAGGGCAGTTGTTTACATCATGGCTTTGGTGGTGGGCTGTATATGCAAAGGCTGTTTGCATGGGAGTGGCAGAAAACAATCAGCTGAAAAGAATCTATTCTCTCACCAAAATATATTCAGTATTTTTCTTTTCAAATTTGGAAGCATGCCTTTGTCTAGACATCAGGAAAAGTGGTACATAATACTCGGTATTCTCTAAAACGAGCAACCTGATCGGGGTTTGTAACTAGAGTTATGCCATAAAATTATTATACTGTGTATATTTTTGTACCACTTGATGACAGATACACTTCTCTTTGAAGAAGCTTATTTAATTTGGTCTCTAGGGGGAGAAAATGGTGTTCCTTCAGTCACTAATTTTTAAAAGTGATCTGTGGTGCCTTTTTTGGTCAGTATTTCCTCTAACCTTAATAACAACTTTTGAAATACAAGGCAGCGTGTGCCGCACAAGTGCAGTGCGGTCTGCATGGAGGCAAGTTGCCAGGCTCACTTCCCTTGGGTTTGGGTTGAAGCTGGCACTCTTCCATGAGCATGTGTGAGTAGAATGACTGAAGGCTTTCCTGACACTCCGCTTTCCTTCACCTGTCCCTGCTGCCTCACAGCAGTGCTGGTTTCTTTTTGCAGAGGTCCAGTGAGTGAGGAGGGAGTTTGTAGACCAATTATACGATGGCAGTAAGGGCCATCCTGTACCTCTCAAAGGCCAGCTAACAACTAGGGAAGATAAATTTCCTGGAGGAAAGTATCATGCAAATTATAAGGTTCTTAGTGGCCTGATGAGTTGGTAGCAGCAGAATCTGCAAAAAGCCGTCACAACCGTTTCTTCCTGGGGTCAGCGGAAATCAGTTGGTGACAACATATTTGTCTATTTTGGTTTTACTTATGGAGGGTCTTAATTAGTTTATGGTATTTGGTGTCACAGAGTGACACAGTTCATCCAAAAAGAAAGCTTTTTACCTTAGTGTTGTGGCGAAGAATAAAATAGAATAACCATGTATATCTTTGAAGTTAGCAAAGTGTTTCCATTTCACCGGCGGCAGGTAAGTAGAGAGAGATCTGTTGTGTGCCTTTAAAGATCATTATAACCTCACAAGTTCTTATTCTTCTGATTTTTAAAAATCATGACCATAATCAAAATGACTGCTTTTGCAGTAATGTCCTTTCCTGTCAATTTCTGCTTTGGTTGAGGAGGAAATAGAACATTAATAAAAATTCTCAGAAAAGTGAAAGAGTTGGTGTGAAGCAAACACTGGTAAAATTATCCCCTTTGTGAAGAATAGTTAAGTACTATTGGAGATAGAATTTTACATTTGTGCCACTACATTGAATATGAAAATTAAAAAAAAAAAAAATATTCTGAAGCTTGCATCTGTAACTTGTTTCCATTGTTTTAAGCAAATGCAGTCCATATTCTCTTCCATATTTTTTTCTTTTTTTTTTAGTGAGGTTTTTAAGACTTATAATGTTGCCATGGACTACATTACGGTGGCACTCATGATCTGGAACTTCGGTGTTGTGGGAATGATTTGTATTCATTGGAAGGGTCCACTTCGGCTCCAGCAGGCATATCTCATTATGATAAGCGCTCTCATGGCCTTGGTGTTCATTAAGTACCTTCCTGAATGGACTGCGTGGCTTATCTTGGCTGTCATTTCAGTGTATGGTAAGGTCTGGGGCAAGACATAGTAACAGGTATTATGGTGGGAATTTCTTCTATTCCCTGACATATCAGTTTGTCTGACTAAAGCTTAAAAAAAGAAAAAGTGTGTGTGTGTCGGGCTATCATCCAAAGTAGTGGATAAGGTGATTACAGACTTCAGAAATAAGATCATGATCTAAACCAGGATCGGCGTCCTGCAGCTAAAGGCTTTGTGTGACTGTATGATGCCATCTTCCTTCATGTTTTCTGGACTTTCTAGATTCTTTGGGGAGGAGAACTGAAGTAATTCAAGAGAGGAGGAGATAAGAGACATATGTTGCCATTTTGATCTCTTCTATGAAGATGGAGAGCTTTTGGCTTCTCATTTTCCCCAAGAGTCCTTGGAAACTGTTGTATGTTCAGAATTTAGGAGCTTGTTGTTTGGGTACAGTCCTATACAGGTATAGATCTGCCCAACCTATGAATTGCTCAAATTTGCGGACATAGAAACAACACCCTGATCCATGCCTAATAATATAATGAGAAGGACGGAAGGAAGGATTAAAGGCAGTTCTCATTGCTCAAAGTCATTTTACATTTAGAATGATATAGTTGTGAGATCCGTTTCCTTGATTTTTTCTAAATAAAAAGAAAATTCATTTGAATTATCGCATATTACACTTTTTCAGAATGATGACTGAGAGATACCTAGATGTAGTTTTTTCATAAAGCTTTAGAGGGCACTGGACACTTTTGATAAGAAGATCACTCTATATCCCAAATACTGATTTAGTTCCCAGGCAAGACTAAAATACAGTTAGTTAGACATAGTTAAAACATTACAGCTAAGTGTATTCATGAAGATGTACTCATAACTTTAATTTTTTTGGAAGCATTAAGTGAAATAAATGTGTACTCTGAAAGTCACTGATAGTGATAAAGACTGAGAATCTGTCCAGTTGTAGAAGTGCAGGGGTTAATAAGATTTGATAAGCTCTGGTAGGTCAGTGTACTCCTTAGGTGTCCTCTTCCTTCAGAGGGAGGAAAAATGTCCCTCGTGTATGCTCGTGGGTCATAAGGCACATTAAGAAAACCTTCCCATCCCCCTCCCCACCTCCACCCTTCGTATGACTGGAACACATCTGAGTATTCCAAGCATTCAGCCATCATTCAGTGATTGCAAAATGAAATTACTCTTCAGATCATATTCCAAGACCATAACGTGGTTGTTTTGAGTAAAGGGGAAGTAAGTTGCAAAGCCTGTGACCCCACGCTAAGAATTCTTTACTTGAGTGGGACCAGCAATGGTGCTAGGGCAGTTAGCTCAGGTGCAGAAGGCCTGCTCTGTGCAGCTTACAGCTCCTGACAAATAAGCTGTTCCTTTTGGTGTCAGATTTTGTCTCAAATGAATTTAAAGACATACAGTGAGTGGACAACTGCAAAAGGTAGTAGCAAGGTTAATATGTAAATGTTACAGCTTTCTGCCCAAATAGGCAAGACAAGGGAAAAGTAGCTGAGGTTGGTTGAGGAGTTGCAAATTTCATTAACAAACCGTCAACATTCAGGTGAGAAAGCAAATGGAGCATCTGATAGATCAGTTTTTCTTAATGCTGTGCTTTGATCTGTATGAGTAACTTGTACTGTACGGTCATCCTATTTTGTAAATGATTGCTTTTCAGTTAATTTTTACTTGTTCACCCAGTTTCATATACTGTCCCATGAACAAGAATTGAGGGAAGCAACAAAAAGCTGTTCTTTTCTTACGCTAAATATGCTTTGAACACCTCTCAAACTTACGCAAACACAGCATTTTTCCGCAACGCTTAATAAACCTGTTTTTTTTCCTCTTCACATGCACATTCACTTTTTTTTCCTCTTTAAGTGGGAATAAATTGGCAGTCATGCCTAATTCATAGAAGTTATGTAAGCCTCACTTACCTGTTGTCTTAAAATTTGTTTTAGCATTAAACTTGGGTTAAGAAAAGCTTTGATAATAGAACACAAGCTTGGGTATTTCCAAGATGTTAGTTGAATAGTAGCTTTCATGAATTATTCGCTTTCAACTTGCAAGTCAACATACAGACACAGATATATTTGCAGTTGCATAATATCTTAAGTGAGGAACATCACATTTTTTTAATTAGTATACACATTGCAGTAATATGTAAAATAGGTTCTATAACTGAGAATATTAAAAAGTATTCCTGTAGGATACTGACTTGTGGCCAATGGCTCTCTCAGAAGTCTATGTTCAGGGTAGTATTTTATCTTATTACCAGTCTCCGCAAGTGTTACAGAAAAACCTTCTTGTAAGTATGTCTGCAGTGATGTATGATCTGTTTGCTCTTCCTTTCAGATTTGATTGCTGTTCTGTGTCCTAAAGGTCCTCTTCGTATGCTAGTTGAAACAGCTCAAGAGAGAAATGAAACTCTCTTCCCAGCACTTATTTACTCCTGTAAGTACGTTTTGTTAAATACTTTAAATTTACAATCACGCACTCAGCTGAAGTGATTTTCTCATTTTTCTGTTTTAACATGATGCTTGTCAGCTGGAATTCTTGGTCTGTTCACTTGGTCCTCAGTTTTCCTTTCACCATTGACTCAAAAAGGTGGAACGTCTTCTGGCTAAGATCTTTCAAGATAAAAACCAGCATGTTTTGTTACAAAATACAAACAGGAAAAATGGTAATACACCTTGTTTTGGTCAAAGTAGTATGTCATTAGGCTGTGAATTAAGCCTATTTAAAGGGAGTACTTGTTATCAGAAAATATTTATCAGCTTTCAGTGCTTAAATAACCTGTGTGTTACTGGAAGGAAAGGGAGAAATTGCCAGAAAGAGATTCATTTACAGAACTATTTTCTCCAGGGCTTGTCTTTTTGGGTACGGTGTTTCTCCCTGCAGTTGCGAAAAATAACCTACTGAATGCAAATTGCTGTTGTGACCTGTGTATCAATTAGTACATAACTCCACTGTTTCTGAAGTTCCACATTGCTAGTTGTAATATGGAAAAACAGTGAAATAGGTTAATCGTAAATCATCATGCTACTGGTGCTCAAGAAAGGCCTGTATTTGGAAGCAGGAAGTTTGTTGTAGACTGACTGGCTACTTCAGGGACAAGTTTACAGTGGAGAAAGGGGAGGGGTTTCTTTATCTGTCACTCTTGCTGTGTTTTACTGATACTACTCATAGCTGCCTGTTCTGTTTTGTGGGAGGAGAGGTTAATGCTGAGAAACCACAAACTTGAATTAAAATACACCATTTAAGTGTGACAACATTTCATTACCTCCAGATTGGAGAACTCTCTGTGATGGTGGGGGCAGAGAACAATTAACTTTGATGCAGATACTGCCTCTGAATTGAGGTACCTTAGTACCCGTCTTAATGGAAAAAAGTAAAGAAATCGTTGATTCAGATTTTTCAGAGTGGGCTTCATATATAAAAGTAATTTCTCTGGCAACAACTGTTGCCGTTATTTTCAACATCTAGTAAGAATAAAACTTTTATTCACCAAATTCTGTACATGTGTGTTGTAGCTGGTACTGGCTGTGTTCCAGATATTACTGTGCTTTAACGAGAGTAAAATTGCCTGTTGCAAAAGATAGTTGTATCCAAAAAAAAAAAAAGGGATTGATGCCAACAATTGCATACATCTGAAGATATGATTAGCTATGCTGGTTTTGGTTTTTTTAATAGCAACAATGATCTGGCTAGTGAACATGGCTGAGGAAGATCCAGAAGCCCAACGGAAAGCTTCCAAAAACTCCACTTATGATAAACAAGGTGAGTTTTTCTTTGACAAGCCTTTATAGTTGTCATTTTATTGGAATGCATGTTTATGGATACTTGTTTTTTAGCTTTTTAAGTGTCCTGGTTGCTGTAGAAGAGTGAAAGCATGGAGGCCTTATTAGGAATGATGAATCTGTCAAGACTTCAAAAATTGCTTACTTATTGTGCAGTTAATGTTCTTGCATTCATTTTTCTGGGATTTAGGATGTTGGTGGCGAAATGACTCTCAATAGACAACTATTCTTGTCAAATTGGGATGATAGAGTACAAAGCTAACTCATTTATATTTGTATATAAACAGAAATGTGTCTAGCCCTCTTGTCTATGCAGCTAGTGTTTAAAAACATGGGGTTTGTTCACATGTATTATTAAAGCAGAGCAGAGTTTCTGAACTTAACGTGCTTGACGGGGTGTATGTATATTAACTTTCAGTAAAGTTTTCTATTTTACTGGAAAACTAAGCTGTCAATGTTGACTAAAGAAGCTAACAAAATATTAGATGAGAGTTTATTCCTTAAGCTGTGATCTTTAAATTAAGTCACCGCAGAACTTCCACTGTTATGTCAAAGTACTCCTGAATACTAGGACTTGAGTGCAACGTGCAGATGCTGTGACTGCAGAGTGCACATTGACTTCTGATTGTTTAAATAAGTATTAAAATCCGAAGTGAGAATGTCTTGTAATAGTGTGTGCCAATGTTAGATGTTGCTGAATATTATGGAATACCTCTTTTTTCCGCATTATTCTATGATCTTACACGTGGAGAGATTGTCATGTTTTAGAAGGCACGTTTTTGAAGGAGATCTTAAATGCCTTTCTTCCTTTGAGCTCCGGCAAACCAGACTCGGAATGAAGATGCTGAAGCAGATGATGGTGGCTTTAGTCAGGAATGGCAGCAACAAAGGGACAATAGAATAGGACCCATTGAATCAACGCCTGAATCTCGTGCTGCTGTTCAGGCTCTACCCAGTAACTCTCAAACAAGTGAAGACCCCGAAGAACGTGAGTATGGAGTACTGTGTCTGAAAGACTTAGTAAATCTGAAGCTAGTTAGTCTTACTCTTAGTCATCCTGACTGCACAGATACAGTATGCTGTGAGCTAATAGTAAGCTGAAGACCTGCTCTTGCTCATGATCAATACTGACATGCCTCACAGAAATAGATGGAGTTGCTTTTTGGTAGCTTTTGGTTTTACTGCAGGATTGAGTAATATTGGCCAAACTGGTCTTTATTTTGATACACAGACTCCAAACTTTAATAGCACAAGCTGCTTTCAGACCATTATACAGTCAGTTGCATTAACTTCTGTCTTTTTCACACAGTGTATCACCTCTTTTAGATTTTAGGCCCTGTAAATGAAGTCATTAATGTTTTTTGCCTCAAGATTAATCTACTGTAATCTACTCTGTAGAAAGCAATGTTTAAAACCTAATTGGAGACTGAAATGAATGCAGAATGCCTTGGGCTTGCTTATTTTTCTCCAGCATCTTGCTGAGGTGCAGCATCTTTGGAGAGCATATGACATCAATACTCAGATATCTGTTTTAACAGACTCATGATTTCCAGTTGGAGTTTAAGCTGCTATTAGATTTACAAAGCTCTAAATAAATTAGGGTCTGCCTGTCTAATAAACTGCTCTCCCCATGTGATGCTGCTATATTTAACAGGTGCAACTGCTTCCTCTGATTCTCAGGTGCTCCTCTGTTTAAAAATAGACTTCTACTTTAAGAACAATTTTAAAATTTACTTTGTTCCAAAAATTCCAAATTCAGAGTGTGTTGCAAATCCATTTTAATTTCTAGAGCTTAGAAAAATAACGTTAAGATGCAAAAATTTTAGGAATTGGGCTATTTTAGTTAGTTAACTGGTTAACTAAAACTGTTGTCTGGCCAGACTAATAATTTTCTCCTTCCTGTATTCCTACAGCGAGTAGTAATGACGGATGTGCAGTGATCTAGTCAGACTTGTCAGCCAGCATTAGCTTACTAGAAGTTTGGAGTGGCTTATTAGAAATTTGGAGAGTGTGCTTGTGTGGAAAGAGTTATTTAGCAGTTGCCTTTGCTTATTGTTCTGTCATGCTGAAAGTAAGCATCCAAGTTTTGTTTCAGCAGTTAAAGGGTGTTTTAAGTGCTTAAGAACTTCTCATGAATGCGCTGTTCTAGACCATATATTGGAGGCCTGCTGAAAGAGAGTAGGGTTGCCTTTTCTCCTTTTTTTTTGCCTTTTCTCCTTTTTTTTTGCCTTTTCTCCTTTTTTTTTGCCTTTTCTCCTTTTTTTTTGCCTTTTCTCCTTTTTTTTTGCCTTTTCTCCTTTTTTTTTGCCTTTTCTCCTTTTTTTTT